AGACCCTCAGAGGCATCAGCACCGCACACAGACCCTCAGAGGCATCAGCACCGCACGGAGACCCTCAGAGGCATCAGCACCATCAGCACTGCACGGAGACCCTCAGTGGCATCAGCACCGCACACAGACCCTCAGGGGCATCAGCACTGCACGGAGACCCTCAGAGGCATCAGCACCGCACGGAGACCCTCAGAGGCATCAGCACCATCAGCACTGCACGTAAACCCTCAGGGGCATCAGCACCATCAGCACCGCACGGAGACCCTCAGAGGCATCAGCACCATCAGCACTGCACGGAGACCCTCAGGGGCATCAGCACCATCAGCACTGCACGGAGACCCTCAGTGGCATCAGCACCGCACGGAGACCCTCAGAGGCATCAGCACCATCAGCACTGCACGGAGACCCTCAGAGGCATCAGCACCGCACGGAGACCCTCAGAGGCATCAGCACCATCAGCACTGCACGTAAACCCTCAGGGGCATCAGCACCATCAGCACCGCACGGAGACCCTCAGAGGCATCAGCACCATCAGCACTGCACGGAGACCCTCAGAGGCATCAGCACCATCAGCACCGCACGGAGACCCTCAGGGGCATCAGCACCATCAGCACTGCACGGAGACCCTCAGTGGCATCAGCACCATCAGCACCGCACGGAGACCCTCAGAGGCATCAGCACCATCAGCACCGCACGGAGACCCTCAGAGGCATCAGCACCATCAGCACTGCACGGAGACCCTCAGAGGCATCAGCACCATCAGCACTGCACGGAGACCCTCAGAGGCATCAGCACCATCAGCACTGCACGGAGACCCTCAGAGGCATCAGCACCATCAGCACCGCACAGAGACCCTCAGAGGCATCAGCACCATCAGCACCGCACGGAGACCCTCAGTGGCATCAGCACCATCAGCACCGCACGGAGACCCTCAGAGGCATCAGCACCATCAGCACTGCACGGAGACCCTCAGAGGCATCAGCACCATCAGCACTGCACGGAGACCCTCAGAGGCATCAGCACCATCAGCACTGCACGGAGACCCTCAGAGGCATCAGCACCATCAGCACTGCACGGAGACCCTCAGAGGCATCAGCACCATCAGCACTGCACGGAGACCCTCAGGGGCATCAGCACCATCAGCACCGCACAGAGAACCTCAGGGGCATCAGCACCATCAGCACCGCACGGAGACCCTCAGGGGCATCAGCACCATCAGCACTGCACGGAGACCCTCAGTGGCATCAGCACCGCACACAGACCCTCAGAGGCATCAGCACCGCACACAGACCCTCAGAGGCATCAGCACCGCACGGAGACCCTCAGTGGCATCAGCACCGCACACAGACCCTCAGAGGCATCAGCACCGCACGGAGACCCTCAGAGGCATCAGCACCGCACACAGACCCTCAGAGGCATCAGCACCGCACGGAGACCCTCAGAGGCATCAGCACCATCAGCACTGCACGGAGACCCTCAGTGGCATCAGCACCGCACACAGACCCTCAGGGGCATCAGCACTGCACGGAGACCCTCAGAGGCATCAGCACCGCACGGAGACCCTCAGAGGCATCAGCACCATCAGCACTGCACGTAAACCCTCAGGGGCATCAGCACCATCAGCACCGCACGGAGACCCTCAGAGGCATCAGCACCATCAGCACTGCACGGAGACCCTCAGGGGCATCAGCACCATCAGCACTGCACGGAGACCCTCAGGGGCATCAGCACCATCAGCACCGCACAGAGACCCTCAGAGGCATCAGCACCATCAGCACCGCACGGAGACCCTCAGAGGCATCAGCACCATCAGCACCGCACACAGACCCTCAGAGGCATCAGCACCATCAGCACCGCACGGAGACCCTCAGTGACATCAGCACCACACACAGACCCTCAGAGGCATCAGCACCATCAGCACTGCACGTAGACCCTCAGGGGCATCAGCACCATCAGCACCGCACGGAGACCCTCAGGGGCATCAGCACCATCAGCACTGCACGGAGACCCTCAGGGGCATCAGCACCATCAGCACCGCACGGAGACCCTCAGGGGCATCAGCACCATCAGCACCGCACGGAGACCCTCAGGGGCATCAGCACCATCAGCACTGCACGGAGACCCTCAGTGGCATCAGCACCGCACAGAGACCCTCAGTGGCATCAGCACCGCACACAGACCCTCAGAGGCATCAGCACCGCACGGAGACCCTCAGAGGCATCAGCACCATCAGCACTGCACGGAGACCCTCAGGGGCATCAGCACCATCAGCACTGCACGGAGACCCTCAGGGGCATCAGCACCATCAGCAACGCACAGAGACCCTCAGGGGCATCAGCACCATCAGCACCGCACGGAGACCCTCAGGGGCATCAGCACCATCAGCACCGCACGGAGACCCTCAGGGGCATCAGCACCATCAGCACCACACGGAGACCCTCAGGGGCATCAGCACCATCAGCACCACACGGAGACCCTCAGGGGCATCAGCACCATCAGCACCGCACGGAGACCCTCAGGGGCATCAGCACCGCACGGAGACCCTCAGGGGCATCAGCACCATCAGCACCGCACAGAGACCCTCAGAGGCATCAGCACCATCAGCACCGCACGGAGACCCTCAGGGGCATCAGCACCATCAGCACCGCACGGAGACCCTCAGGGGCATCAGCACCATCAGCACCACACGGAGACCCTCAGGGGCATCAGCACCATCAGCACCGCACAGAGACCCTCAGGGGCATCAGCACCATCAGCACCGCACGGAGACCCTCAGGGGCATCAGCACCATCAGCACTGCACAGAGACCCTCAGGGGCATCAGCACCATCAGCACCGCACAGAGACCCTCAGGGGCATCAGCACCATCAGCACTGCACGGAGACCCTCAGGGGCATCAGCACCATCAGCACCGCACAGAGACCCTCAGAGGCATCAGCACCATCAGCACCGCACAGAGACCCTCAGGGGCATCAGCACCATCAGCACGATACGGAGACCCTCAGGGGCATCAGCACCATCAGCACGATACGGAGACCCTCAGGGGCATCAGCACCATCAGCACCGCATGGAGACCCTCAGTGGCATCAGCACCATCAGCACCGCACAGAGACCCTCAGGGGCATCAGCACCATCAGCACCGCATGGAGACCCTCAGTGGCATCAGCACCATCAGCACCGCACAGAGACCCTCAGGGGCATCAGCACCATCAGCACCGCATGGAGACCCTCAGTGGCATCAGCACCATCAGCACCGCACAGAGACCCTCAGTGGCATCAGCACCATCAGCACCGCACAGAGACCCTCAGGGGCATCAGCACCATCAGCACTGCACGGAGACCCTCAGGGGCATCAGCACCATCAGCACCGCACAGAGACCCTCAGGGGCATCAGCACCATCAGCACGATACGGAGACCCTCAGGGGCATCAGCACCATCAGCACGATACGGAGACCCTCAGGGGCATCAGCACCATCAGCACGATACGGAGACCCTCAGGGGCATCAGCACCATCAGCACCGCACGGAGACCATCAGTGGCATCAGTGCAGACTGTAGAAGAGCCGCAGTGCTGCTATCAGTGGACTTTAGTGCAGCTTTAGACGCTGCTGATCAGTTAACACCTTCTGGTCAATAACTGGTTTAAATCCTGTTCTTCTCGCATCAGTAGGCATCTTTACATCAGAGACCACAGAAATCTCCTTCCCAAGGGGACAGCTTATGGCTCCGCCTACAGGCCATAAAACAGCCAATCCGATTTTATGTCCGATCCAACAGAAATCGAACTCTGCACCTATTGCACATTATCGGGCATCAATGCTGCTGAACGTTTAACTTTTAGCCTTTTAAGTGTTCATCTCATTTCTATTTTCAATAACGCATTTTTTGCACAAATGCCTATTTGCACTGAACCACTGCAACTTGCACACTGTCTCTTATCCTCTGCACTGTTCACACTTTGACCACTGCTGCACTTTTTGTATTTTTGTATAACTTGTGCCATTTGAAATATCAATGCAACGTTCATAAGCTGTATGTAACGCAATTTCGTTCTGTATGCACTCTCTGCATAAAAAATGACAAATAAAGAAGTCTAAGTCTAAGTCTAAAATGGTGCCTCAGAGGTGTTGGTGTTTAGTGCTGATTGACAGTCAATGGGGAGGGTTTCCTGCAGGGGGCAGCGTAGCTCTGAGATAGAGACCAGGTCTGTTTTAGTGAGACTGCGCAACAATTCAGCAGCAATTTCCTGGGTCTGACAGGAAGAGAGGCGCGGTTACAAAGTAAAACACAAAATACTAAATGAAATCTGTTAATCTGACGGTGAAAGCTTGGAGTCACACACGGCGTTAATAGTGAGAGAGGAAGACGGCAGCGATGGAGGACCACCAAGCTTTAATGTTTAGATGTTTTTATCAATGAAATGCATTTGAAGGTTGAAGTTTTTTACGGTCATTAAAAACACTGATATGAAAACAACTGGAATAATTTTTCTAACAGCAGCACTGCAGAAAAGCTCATCCGTCTCACCGCATATCATGTAGTCTCTATTCACGCAAAACGCCGTATGGACAGGTTAGCATTTTGAGGCTACATTACATCCATAAATAAAAACTGTGAAAAATGCATTTTTAATGTGTGATGGATGTAATAGTTTTCACTTAGCAACCTCATTTTATTTTATTTTAACTGTGGAACATTAACCTGATCCTGAACATTATTAAACGTTTTCTATGATAAAGAAATCTGACAGAAAAATGTGATTTAATTTCTGAATATGAGCGGATATTTGGCAGATATAAACTGAATGGATTCAGCAGGATCTTCCTGTTGCTGATGTTTGCTCTGATTTGTTCTAGTGATGCTTTAGGGACCCTGAGAGAGGAGGAGGTCTACGACCCGACAGACGAACACTCATCAGGGATCAGTTAGACTGGAGTTAAAGATCGGCCTTAAAAAGCCTGAATCAGTTCATCTCTAACCTCCAGCCTCCTGCTGCTCCTCCTGCTCACTGATGGGGAGCTCCATGGTTTCCTCTTTAGTCCAGGGATCTTCTGGCTTTAGCTGCTCTTCTTTCATCTGCAGAGGTTCTGGTTCCTCTTGGTCCAAACTGGAATTCCTCTCCTGTTTCCAGAGCTGCTGCTCAGAGAAATCCTCCTCTTTTCCAACCTGCAGGAGGTCTGGAAAGACAAACACAGGAGAAAGACGTAATGTTGGAGGTTAGAGGAAGGAACTAATGCAAATAAAGATCATAAAGCCTTAAAAGTTTTAAATCTGATTAAACTACTTAAATACAGATTCAACTTTTAAATTGCAGCCTTTAAATCTAAAAGGGAAGGAGTTAATCCTGTGATTCAATGAGTCTGAATTATTTACATATAAGCTGGTGAGGATCGTCAGTCATCCCAGAACAGGTCCGCGGGGTGGGGGGGTGGGGGGGGGGTGGGGGGGTGGTGGGGGTTGGGTTGGTTAGCCTGTAACACCAGCTAACCGTCTATGAAGGGGGGTCATTAGCGGTGATTACTGGCCTGGATGAACAGGAGAGACGTTTTGTCCCCTGCATTAGGATGGGGACAGCAGGTACTTTGTCCATTAGGTGTAGAGGACAAAGGACCTCACCTAACGACCCCCCCTTTCATTGCAGACTAACTCACAGACGGCCCATCCTGAGGGGCGGGGCCGTTCTTCTGGTTCTATCTGAATGTTTTCTAACCTAAAGCGAAGCTTTGGTTTTTGGTCCAGCTATGGAGCCTGGAACTCCACACTATTCCTGACATCTTGAATTGGAAAAGCTTCCTGGAAACATGGAAACAAAGTCCACTGGATTGTTTTTACTTTTGGAAAATCTTGAAATAACTAAAAACATTTATTTTCTGTGATAATTTGAAAACTTTGATTAAAAATATTAATTTAACAACTAATAAAAAGTCCAGTTTTCTCTCTAGAAGCAATCAGGGTCTCCTGGCCTCATCAGGTGGTTCCTACCTATGGTTCCTAGGCTAGTGTCTCCAGGTAGCCTGATGAGGGCAGCGTTAGTATCAGGTGGTTCCTACCTATGGTTCCTAGGCTAGTGTCTCCAGGTAGCCTGATGAGGGCAGCGTTAGTATCAGGTGGTTCCTACCTATGGTTCCTAGGCTAGTGTCTCCAGGTAGCCTGATGAGGGCAGCGTTAGTATCAGGTGGTTCCTACCTATGGTTCCTAGGCTAGTGTCTCCAGGTAGCCTGATGAGGGCAGCGTTAGTATCAGGTGGTTCCTACCTATGGTTCCTAGGCTAGTGTCTCCAGGTAGCCTGATGAGGGCAGCGTTAGTATCAGGGGGTTCCTACCTATGGTTCCTAGGCTAGTGTCTCCAGGTAGCCTGATGAGGGCAGCGTTAGTATCAGGTGGTTCCTACCTATGGTTCCTAGGCTAGTGTCTCCAGGTAGCCTGATGAGGGCAGCGTTAGTATCAGGTGGTTCCTACCTATGGTTCCTAGGCTAGTGTCTCCAGGTAGCCTGATGAGGGCAGCGTTAGTATCAGGTGGTTCCTACCTATGGTTCCTAGGCTAGTGTCTCCAGGTAGCCTGATGAGGGCAGCGTTAGTATCAGGTGGTTCCTACCTATGGTTCCTAGGCTAGTGTCTCCAGGTAGCCTGATGAGGGCAGCGTTAGTATCAGGTGGTTCCTACCTATGGTTCCTAGGCTAGTGTCTCCAGGTAGCCTGATGAGGGCAGCGTTAGTATCAGGTGGTTCCTACCTATGGTTCCTAGGCTAGTGTCTCCAGGTAGCCTGATGAGGGCAGCGTTAGTATCAGGTGGTTCCTACCTATGGTTCCTAGGCTAGTGTCTCCAGGTAGCCTGATGAGGGCGGCGTTAGCATCAGGTGGTTCCTACCTATGGTTCCTAGGCTAGTGTCTCCAGGTAGCCTGATGAGGGCGGCGTTAGTATCAGGTGGTTCCTACCTATGGTTCCTAGGCTAGTGTCTCCAGGTAGCCTGATGAGGGCTGCGTTAGTATCAGGTGGTTCCTACCTATGGTTCCTAGGCTAGTGTCTCCAGGTAGCCTGATGAGGGCGGCGTTAGTATCAGGTGGTTCCTACCTATGGTTCCTAGGCTAGTGTCTCCAGGTAGCCTGATGAGGGCTGCGTTAGTATCAGGTGGTTCCTACCTATGGTTCCTAGGCTAGTGTCTCCAGGTAGCCTGATGAGGGCAGCGTTAGTATCAGGTGGTTCCTACCTATGGTTCCTAGGCTAGTGTCTCCAGGTAGCCTGATGAGGGCAGCGTTAGTATCAGGTGGTTCCTACCTATGGTTCCTAGGCTAGTCTCTCCAGGTAGGCTGATGAGGGCAGCGTTAGTATCAGGTGGTTCTTACCTATGGTTCCTAGGCTAGTGTCTCCAGGTAGCCTGATGAGGGCAGCGTTAGTATCAGGTGGTTCCTACCTATGGTTCCTAGGCTAGTGTCTCCAGGTAGCCTGATGAGGGCAGCGTTAGTATCAGGTGGTTCCTACCTATGGTTCCTAGGCTAGTGTCTCCAGGTAGCCTGATGAGGGCAGCGTTAGTATCAGGTGGTTCCTACCTATGGTTCCTAGGCTAGTGTCTCCAGGTAGCCTGATGAGGGCAGCGTTAGTATCAGGTGGTTCCTACCTATGGTTCCTAGGCTAGTGTCTCCAGGTAGCCTGATGAGGGCAGCGTTAGTATCAGGTGGTTCCTACCTATGGTTCCTAGGCTAGTCTCTCCAGGTAGCCTGATGAGGGCAGCGTTAGTATCAGGTGGTTCCTACCTATGGTTCCTAGGCTAGTGTCTCCAGGTAGCCTGATGAGGGCAGCGTTAGTATCAGGTGGTTCCTACCTATGGTTCCTAGGCTAGTGTCTCCAGGTAGCCTGATGAGGGCAGCGTTAGTATCAGGTGGTTCCTACCTATGGTTCCTAGGCTAGTGTCTCCAGGTAGCCTGATGAGGGCAGCGTTAGTATCAGGTGGTTCTTACCTATGGTTCCTAGGCTAGTGTCTCCAGGTAGCCTGATGAGGGCAGCGTTAGTATCAGGTGGTTCCTACCTATGGTTCCTAGGCTAGTGTCTCCAGGTAGCCTGATGAGGGCAGCGTTAGTATCAGGTGGTTCCTACCTATGGTTCCTAGGCTAGTGTCTCCAGGTAGCCTGATGAGGGCAGCGTTAGTATCAGGTGGTTCCTACCTATGGTTCCTAGGCTAGTGTCTCCAGGTAGCCTGATGAGGGCGGCGTTAGTATCAGGTGGTTCCTACCTATGGTTCCTAGGCTAGTGTCTCCAGGTAGCCTGATGAGGGCAGCGTTAGTATCAGGTGGTTCCTACCTATGGTTCCTAGGCTAGTGTCTCCAGGTAGCCTGATGAGGGCAGCGTTAGTATCAGGTGGTTCCTACCTATGGTTCCTAGGCTAGTGTCTCCAGGTAGCCTGATGAGGGCAGCGTTAGTATCAGGTGGTTCCTACCTATGGTTCCTAGGCTAGTGTCTCCAGGTAGCCTGATGAGGGGAGCGTTAGTATCAGGTGGTTCCTACCTATGGTTCCTAGGCTAGTGTCTCCAGGTAGCCTGATGAGGGCAGCGTTAGTATCAGGTGGTTCCTACCTATGGTTCCTAGGCTAGTGTCTCCAGGTAGCCTGATGAGGGCAGCGTTAGTATCAGGTGGTTCCTACCTATGGTTCCTAGGCTAGTGTCTCCAGGTAGCCTGATGAGGGCAGCGTTAGTATCAGGTGGTTCCTACCTATGGTTCCTAGGCTAGTGTCTCCAGGTAGCCTGATGAGGGCAGCGTTAGTATCAGGTGGTTCCTACCTATGGTTCCTAGGCTAGTGTCTCCAGGTAGCCTGATGAGGGCAGCGTTAGTATCAGGTGGTTCCTACCTATGGTTCCTAGGCTAGTGTCTCCAGGTAGCCTGATGAGGGCAGCGTTAGTATCAGGTGGTTCCTACCTATGGTTCCTAGGCTAGTGTCTCCAGGTAGCCTGATGAGGGCAGCGTTAGTATCAGGTGGTTCCTACCTATGGTTCCTAGGCTAGTGTCTCCAGGTAGCCTGATGAGGGCAGCGTTAGTATCAGGTGGTTCCTACCTATGGTTCCTAGGCTAGTCTCTCCAGGTAGGCTGATGAGGACAGCGTTAGTATCAGGTGGTTCTTACCTATGGTTCCTAGGCTAGTGTCTCCAGGTAGCCTGATGAGGGCAGCGTTAGTATCAGGTGGTTCCTACCTATGGTTCCTAGGCTAGTGTCTCCAGGTAGCCTGATGAGGGCAGCGTTAGTATCAGGTGGTATCTACCTATGGTTCCTAGGCTAGTGTCTCCAGGTAGCCTGATGAGGGCAGCGTTAGTATCAGGTGGTTCCTACCTATGGTTCCTAGGCTAGTGTCTCCAGGTAGCCTGATGAGGGCAGCGTTAGTATCAGGTGGTTCCTACCTATGGTTCCTAGGCTAGTGTCTCCAGGTAGCCTGATGAGGGCAGCGTTAGTATCAGGTGGTTCCTACCTATGGTTCCTAGGCTAGTCTCTCCAGGTAGCCTGATGAGGGCAGCGTTAGTATCAGGTGGTTCCTACCTATGGTTCCTAGGCTAGTGTCTCCAGGTAGCCTGATGAGGGCAGCGTTAGTATCAGGTGGTTCCTACCTATGGTTCCTAGGCTAGTGTCTCCAGGTAGCCTGATGAGGGCAGCGTTAGTATCAGGTGGTTCCTACCTATGGTTCCTAGGCTAGTGTCTCCAGGTAGCCTGATGAGGGCAGCGTTAGTATCAGGTGGTTCCTACCTATGGTTCCTAGGCTAGTGTCTCCAGGTAGCCTGATGAGGGCAGCGTTAGTATCAGGTGGTTCCTACCTATGGTTCCTAGGCTAGTGTCTCCAGGTAGCCTGATGAGGGCAGCGTTAGTATCAGGTGGTTCCTACCTATGGTTCCTAGGCTAGTGTCTCCAGGTAGCCTGATGAGGGCAGCGTTAGTATCAGGTGGTTCCTACCTATGGTTCCTAGGCTAGTGTCTCCAGGTAGCCTGATGAGGGCGGCGTTAGTATCAGGTGGTTCCTAGGCTAGTGTCTCCAGGTAGCCTGATGAGGGCAGCGTTAGTATCAGGTGGTTCCTACCTATGGTTCCTAGGCTAGTGTCTCCAGGTAGCCTGATGAGGGCAGCGTTAGTATCAGGTGGTTCCTACCTATGGTTCCTAGGCTAGTGTCTCCAGGTAGCCTGATGAGGGCAGCGTTAGTATCAGGTGGTTCCTACCTATGGTTCCTAGGCTAGTGTCTCCAGGTAGCCTGATGAGGGCAGCGTTAGTATCAGGTGGTTCCTACCTATGGTTCCTAGGCTAGTGTCTCCAGGTAGCCTGATGAGGGCAGCGTTAGTATCAGGTGGTTCCTACCTATGGTTCCTAGGCTAGTGTCTCCAGGTAGCCTGATGAGGGCAGCGTTAGTATCAGGTGGTTCCTACCTATGGTTCCTAGGCTAGTGTCTCCAGGTAGCCTGATGAGGGCAGCGTTAGTATCAGGTGGTTCCTACCTATGGTTCCTAGGCTAGTGTCTCCAGGTAGCCTGATGAGGGCAGCGTTAGTATCAGGTGGTTCCTACCTATGGTTCCTAGGCTAGTGTCTCCAGGTAGCCTGATGAGGGCAGCGTTAGTATCAGGTGGTTCCTACCTATGGTTCCTAGGCTAGTGTCTCCAGGTAGCCTGATGAGGGCAGCGTTAGTATCAGGTGGTTCCTACCTATGGTTCCTAGGCTAGTGTCTCCAGGTAGCCTGATGAGGGCAGCGTTAGTATCAGGTGGTTCCTACCTATGGTTCCTAGGCTAGTGTCTCCAGGTAGCCTGATGAGGGCAGCGTTAGTATCAGGTGGTTCCTACCTATGGTTCCTAGGCTAGTGTCTCCAGGTAGCCTGATGAGGGCAGCGTTAGTATCAGGTGGTTCCTACCTATGGTTCCTAGGCTAGTCTCTCCAGGTAGGCTGATGAGGACAGCGTTAGTATCAGGTGGTTCTTACCTATGGTTCCTAGGCTAGTGTCTCCAGGTAGCCTGATGAGGGCAGCGTTAGTATCAGGTGGTTCCTACCTATGGTTCCTAGGCTAGTGTCTCCAGGTAGCCTGATGAGGGCAGCGTTAGTATCAGGTGGTTCCTACCTATGGTTCCTAGGCTAGTGTCTCCAGGTAGCCTGATGAGGGCAGCGTTAGTATCAGGTGGTTCCTACCTATGGTTCCTAGGCTAGTGTCTCCAGGTAGCCTGATGAGGGCAGCGTTAGTATCAGGTGGTTCCTACCTATGGTTCCTAGGCTAGTGTCTCCAGGTAGCCTGATGAGGGCAGCGTTAGTATCAGGTGGTTCCTACCTATGGTTCCTAGGCTAGTGTCTCCAGGTAGCCTGATGAGGGCAGCGTTAGTATCAGGTGGTTCCTACCTATGGTTCCTAGGCTAGTGTCTCCAGGTAGCCTGATGAGGGCAGCGTTAGTATCAGGTGGTTCCTACCTATGGTTCCTAGGCTAGTGTCTCCAGGTAGCCTGATGAGGGCAGCGTTAGTATCAGGTGGTTCCTACCTATGGTTCCTAGGCTAGTGTCTCCAGGTAGCCTGATGAGGGCAGCGTTAGTATCAGGTGGTTCCTACCTATGGTTCCTAGGCTAGTGTCTCCAGGTAGCCTGATGAGGGCAGCGTTAGTATCAGGTGGTTCCTACCTATGGTTCCTAGGCTAGTGTCTCCAGGTAGCCTGATGAGGGCAGCGTTAGTATCAGGTGGTTCCTACCTATGGTTCCTAGGCTAGTGTCTCCAGGTAGCCTGATGAGGGCAGCGTTAGTATCAGGTGGTTCCTACCTATGGTTCCTAGGCTATGTCCCCTTTCCAGGTAGCCTTATGGGGGGCAGCGTTATATCAGGGGTTTCCTACCTATGGTTCCTAGGCTGTTCTCCGGGAGCCTGATGAGGGAAAGCGTTAGTATCAGGGGTTCCTACCTATGGTTCCTAGGCTAGTGTCTCAGGTACCCTGATGAGGGCAGCGTTAGTACAGGTGTTCCTCCCTATGGGGTTTTCCTAGGCTAGTGTCCTCCAGGTAGCCTTGATGGGGGCAGCGTTAGTATCAGGGGTTCCTCCCTATGGTTCCTAGGCTAGTGTCTCCAGGAGCCTGATGGGGGCAGCGTTAGTACAGGTGTTCCTCCCTATGGTTCCTACTAGTGTCTCCAGGTAGCCTGTGAGGGCAGCGTTAGATCGGGTGGTTTACCTAGGGTTCCTAGGCTATGTCTCCAGTCCTGATGGGGGCAGCGTTAGTACAGGTGGTTCCTACCTATGGTTCCTGGCTAGTGTCTCCGGTAGCCTGATGGGGGCAGCGTTAGTATCAGGTGGTTCCTACCTATCCGGTGTAAGATGATCTGGGGGATCCTGGTGAAATCCAGCAGTCTGTGCTGATCATCCATCTTCTCCTCCTCGATCTGATCTAATCTTCCTTTAAACTCTGGGAATGTTTCTCCAGCAGGAGTTAACTGCTCGCTGACAAACTCTCCTTCCAGCTGGACTCAACACATTCTCACTGCAAACACTCACACATTAGCAGCCTCTCTGCTAGCACACGGAAGCTAATGCTAACAGCTGCACAGTCAGTCCTTTCTTTTATTTTCCTCCTTCTGCTTCTTCTTCTTCTTCTTAACGCAGCAAACATCTCACTGCTGCCACCTTCTGGATTAAGTCAGTATTTCATAATCCAGTCCGACTGGAGGAGTTTTCCAGAACATTTCAATTTATAAAATTGATTCTACATTTATGTTTATATGTGAGAGCATTAATTTAGTTTTATTAAAAGCAGATTAATATAGATGGTAGACTGGCAACTGATCTAATTTTGATATTTCAGATTCACAAATGGAGATTTTCCTCATCTTTAACTTTTCCCATATATATATATATATATATATATATATATATATATATATATATATATATATATATATATATATATATATATATATATATATATATATATATATATGTATATATATATATATATATATATATATATATATATATATATATATATATATATATATATATATATATATATATATATATATATATATATATATATATATATATATATATATATATATATATATATATATATATATATATATATATATATATATTTTTTTTTTATCCCTTGGAATACATCAGACATCTCGGTCCAGAAGAGTGCAGTTCTAGGAACAGCAGAGATACTGGCAGAACCCTGAAGCTCCCAGGCCTCTGGTAGAGGACCCCAGCTTGGAGGGAAAAGGGGGGAGACCGCCTGCAGTGGGTGAGGAAGAGTTTTTATTTTCATGTATCTTTGATGTATGTAGGCCCGCCCTGCGATGGACTGGCGTCCTGTCCAGGGTGGACCCCGCCTCTCGCCCATAGACAGCTGGAGAGAGACACCAGAACCCCTCGCCACCCCACTTAGGACAAGCGTGTCAGATAATGGATGGATGGATCTGGGGGCCCAGACAGGATCCACACCTTGTTGCTGCATCAGCTGCTTTCTCTCCATGAAAGCTGGTAGAACAAACATCCTGCAGCTGCTGAAGATCAGGAGCCATCCTGAATGGCTGAGAGCCAAACTGCACTGAATGCTCACATATAAAGAGGATAAAGAGGCAGTGAGAACAGCGCGTGGCAACTTAAACCGTGCCATCAGGAGAGTCAACCCAAGGAAGGCCCCAGGGCCTGATGACATACCTGGGCAGGTGTATAAGGAGTGGTCAGATCAGCTGGCTGGTGTCCTCACAGACATTTTTAACACCTGGATGGACCAATCCATAGTGCCAGCATGCTTCCAGTCTGCCTCCATTATTCCAGTCCCAAAGAAGCCTCAGGTCGCCTCCCTCAATGATTAGCGGCCTGTCGCTCTGACTCCCATCATGATGAAGTGCTTCCAAAGGCTGGTTAAAGAACACATCGTCTCCAGTCTGCCGCCAACATTCCACCCGTTCCAGTTCGCCTACCGACGGAACCGCTCCACTGAGGACGCCATCTCTGCTGCTCTCCACCTGAGCCTGGCACACCTGGAGGAGAAGAACACCCACCATGGATGCTGTTCCTGGACTTCAGCTTTTAGCACCATCAGCCAATGATCAATGATCCCTCATTTCTGAAACCATCTCATATGTTTAGGAGCAACAATGCAGGGACACAAAGGAGACAGGAAAAGGAGAGGATAGTGCAGCTGGGCTAGAGGCAGGAAGGCAGAGTGAGGGAGAGACAGGAGTGGAGCAACAGGTAGAGTAAGTCATACCAGTAGATTCTTCATTAGAGTCCACAAAAAAAGTTGAAAAATTAAATCTTTTGCTTGTAGTAAATGTAGTTCAGTGGCGTTGAGTGACACTGTAACTTTTCCTTCTAGGGAGTTGAGACTAGGGACACAGCTGAGAGACTCTGAGTCAGTGGACAGAGAACAGAGCCAAATCAGCCAAAATTCATAGACCCTGAAGCTCTAGCCAACAGAACTTTACATTTCCAAGAAAAGTGGTAGAAGGAATTTCCCTGGCTGCATTATGATGCAGTGAAAAAGGGCATTTTGTGTTTTTACTGCATGGCAATTTACCAGGACAAACTCACACCATGTGGTGCAAAATCTGAACCCGCCTTGATCACTCCTGGATTTAAAAATTGGAAAAAAGCATTCCAAAAACTTAAAGCACATGAAAATAGTCACACACATCGTCATGCTGTTTCTGTGACTGCACAAGAAAGTCCTCCTATAAATGCCCCATTATCCAGAACTCAGCAGGGTGGCAATAGGCACTGTCTGGAGGAAAGTGTGAGCTCCATAAAATATTTGGCACGGCAGGGACAAGCTTTGAGAGGGCATGACGATGATGACAGCAACTTGTATCAACTGTTGAAAAATCTGGCAGAAGATGATGCCCTTCTGGCGAAGTGGTTGCTGAGGTCTCAGAAGGAATACCACAGATACTGAATGAAATCTTGTGTTCATGAGCAACCGTATTGTCAGTGAAATAGCAGATACAATCAGAAACCTACCAATTTTTGAGTTTGCAATTATTAAGGATGGAACACAGGACATTTGTGGGAAAGCATCTGTCTGCGTTACATTGACAGTGACATGAAGAGTTTATTGGCATGTACTCAGTTTCTGAAGCAACAGGAAAAGCCTTGCTGCTGTTGTTAAAGATGTGCTGCTCAGATTAAACTTACCAATGCATGGTTTACGAGGTCAAACTAATGATGGAGCAGCCAATAAGTCTGGGAAGCATGCAGGTCTACAGGCACTGATGAAGCAGGAGCAGCCACTAGCACTTTTAGTTCGCTGTGGAGAACACTGCACTAATTGACCTGCACAGAAAGCTTGCTTAGCCTCAGTTCTGATCAGAGACGCATTGGACTGGGTGGACCAGCTTCGAGTTCTTTTCTCTCAGTCAGGGAGGTTTAAGGCCATCCATGCAGCAACAGCACATACAGAGAATCCATCGTGCACTGCAATAAACCCCTCTGCCCACAAGATGGGCAGCACGGAGCAAAGCAATCAGAGATGTTTGGTCACAGTACTGGTCAGTGCTGGCTAGCTTGCAGGAGATGGTTTCTGGTGCCTCAAACACAGCAGCCACTGCTAATGGACTGCTGGGGCAGTTTGGGAAAGGTAAAACAGGGTCTCATCCTTGCTTCACCTGTGATTGATGAGCTTGAATGCCTGAGCATCTCTGAAACCATCGCTGGAATGAGGACTGCTGGGAAAGTTGTTCAGACTTCAGGCTAAAAGAAATCAAGTTTCAACACTCTGTTTGAAAAGGCGAAGGCTGAGGTTCAGTCTTTGGGTTTTAATCACTGTTACAGAGAAGGCCACCCCCCCAAAACGCTTCACTGAAGGAGCTAAGACATCAATGTGCCAAGGATCACTGCACAGGTGAAAGTATTGGATGCTGTAGATGCACAGCTCACTGGGCTATTTAACCAGGAGGACTTGCTGACTTGGAAGAGACACTTCTCAGTGGAACGATTGATGCTGCAGTCATTGGGAAATACCCAGAGTTGAATAGAGGGTTACTTTTACTGCAACTTTCTATGTTTAGACTGAACTACTCCTTTAGCAACAGCGCAGAAGCTGCAGGGATCATCGGTGGACTTCCTGCAGAGGTCTGTAGACTCTTTGGGCCAGTGGAAACTCTGGTCAGGTTGCTTTTGGTAGTCCCAGTTTCCTCCTCTGAGGCAGAGAGAAGTTTCAGTGCACTTCGTAGACTCAAAACGTCCAGTAAACTTGATTTACTGGACAAGAAGTCAATTTGCAAGGCAATTTGTTGCTGCAAATGAAAGACGGAAAAACATTTAGGCTCTTTTGCCTGAGCCAGTGTTTGCCATCCATTTACGTGTCAGACACATTTTTGGCGACTTATAAACGCATGGCTGTAAAGTGCAATTGTTCAGAAGCACAGAGGTGTTGATCTCTACCGAGGGTTATGAGGCCTATAAACAAATGAGACAAAATAAAATCAACAATGCTTGGTAAGCTGAATATATCTTTGCTAACTGCTTTTCCAACAGTTAAAGCTCACTGTAGTCAATGAGATAAAAGCTTGTCTATTAAATGTGTATTTATTGTTGGTAAATATGTCTTCATTTTTTATTTGGATTAATTATTCATACAGTTCAACAAACTGAATAAGCATATTCTGATTGTATTTTCTTGTTTTACTGAATGTTAAAGTGTGAATAATTAATTGACTACATTATCTGTGACGGTTCTTTCATCTCAGAATTAGTTTGATCAAAGAGATGCTTCTATGGTCAGCCAACCTATATAAATTCATGTTTGACCATTATTGCAAGTTTGACTAAATAAAACATATCAAACTTGTGTGGCCTACTGAACTGTTTTTAATTTTAAACTGAAATATTAGATTTTCTAGTGTGATGCAGACACTAAATATGAAGAGCTGAAGCCCTGAAAGACGCCTCCCTTTGCTCAATAAGACTCCAGTCATTTTGTTTGGTCATCTGCTCTCATCTTATCAACAAATGCATTATGTACATTTTAAATGCATTATTTTTGCAAGACACATTTATAAAGGAATAAAGTAAAAGATTAAATAGCCTTTTTTTAAGTAGCGTACTTAAGATATGTTTCTGTTGAATATTTACGAATCTCAGATTTCCAACATGTGTCCCCCCCAATTGTAAACATGTCCTACGCCCTTGGCCACAGCCAATGCATTGAACTGGTTGCATCCAATCGCTGATCAAGGCAGCCAGACCAACATAGTTGAGCCCAGATCTGCTTTGTGGAAAACTCTGCACAGAGCTCCGTGTGTCATTGTTACCAAACTTCACAAAGCCTTAACTTCAGGAATAGAATGACTGCATGCTCTTTGCTCTTTGAATCCATTTCCATGCCTGTTGTGATGTAAACTTTATCCATCATGTATGGGTAACTAATGCATAGTGCTTTCCAGGTATCAGTAGGAGCGGTTCCCCATGGTTTCTAACTGAACAGTCGTGGGTGAAGCATGCAGGTTGGAGTCCGGCTGAGACAGTTTGATTTTTCCCTTTCTATTCTCTCTCGTCTATAACCAAGCCCGTTTCTTAGTTTCTTTTTATTTTGAGATTACATAACTGTAGCCTTCTTCTCTGTTGTTGTTGATCCATCTCC